AGCCCTTTGTGTAGCTTTGTGCTTAACAACAACACCTGACCCATGTATTTTACTTGCTACAACGAACAGCCACCTTTACTGAAGAGTTAGGTTTGAGGTTATTCCGTGATATTGTAGGTATCGAAACCCGGTTTCTAGCGTTGTAAGTCGACTGGGGGGCATTTAATAAGTAAAGCATGCGTTTAAAGTATCCCTCTTAACTTTTTTTAAAGGCAGACCTCTTTCTATTTTATTCTATGGTATAAAATATTTCAATCAATTTTGTTCGTTTTGAAGGTAAGCACAAAGCTACACAATGGGCTACCTGTGCTCTGCACATCACTGGTATCGAAACCCGGTTTCTAGCGCTGTAAGTCTGCAGGCATACCGCTGTGCCACTGGGGGGCATTTCAATCGAGATATCTTGGTTGGTAAAAGTCAAGATCTTAAGTAACCGTGATGTTTGTTACGAGCTTTTAAAAGAAAAGATTGTTTGTTTGTTTGTTTTGAATTTCGTGCAAAGCTACACGAGGGCTATCTGCGCTAGTCGTCCCTAATTTAGCAGTGATGGACTAGATGGAAGGCAGCTAGTCATCACCACCCACCGCCAACTCATAGGTTACTCTTTTACTAACGAATAGTAAGCTTGACCGTCATATTATCACGTCCCCACGACTGGAAGGATGAGCATATTTGGCAATGGAGATTCGAACCCGCGACATGTCCTAAACACCAGGTCATGCCAGGCCCTAAAATAAAATAATTATGCCTACATACATTACTAAACTCAGGAAGTATGCATTACTATTAAATGATCAAACTTTCGGCTTACTATTCAGTCACGTTTCACCCACGTGTCTTAGCTTTTTGACGTCACAAGATTCGTTGTATTACGTCATACGATTCATTGTGAATGCCTTGTAATTTATTTATGATAAAGTTTTGAGAAGTTTCTTCCATTTCACGTGTGCTTTATTACGAAACGTTTGTCAGACAATGTTCTAACCGCGCCATTTCATGTGTGCGTTTATTACGAAACGTTTGTCAGACAATGTTCTAACCGCGCCATTTCATGTGTGCTTTACTGCGAAACGTTTGTCAGATAATGTTCTAACCGCGCCTGACTTTTCTATTAATATTATTTCATAATTAGCCATACCGAATGGGCTATCTGCGCTATGCCCACCGAAGGGATCAAGTCCCGTATTTTACAGATATGGACCCTCCTATCCTTTGTTTCTACAAGCTTATACACGTTAATTAAATTTCCCACGCACAGATCGTACCTTCTTGTATCTCTCAGAACTTTATAAAATATTTTTTTTCTTTCTTTGTCATGACTATTGACAAAGTGTTGTTTTGTAAGCAAACTACTGATAATATTAAAATTTTCTTAAGTATAGTTTTTCTCTTTTTAATCGCAGTAGTAAAAATATTAATCCGGTACAACCTACTACAAACAATTCCTTATATGGTCATCACGTCATTACATACTTGAAGTATGTGATTCATGTTGGGAGACTTCTTATAATCATCTGTGTGTTAAATAAAAAAAAAAAAAGGCGCCAGTTTGATTATTTGCATCGATCGTATCCGGTAGCAGAAGTATCTGTGTGTCTCCAACTAATGATTCTGCGACATCGTGTCGTCATTTCTGGTATGTATACCATGACATCACAAAAGGAATCTCTGTCTTATGTGAGTCGGGCGTGGCCCAGAAGCTAGCATGCTGGACTGGGAATCAGAGGATCAAAGATTCGCGTCCAGTTGTTACGAAATGGCACTTCGGAACTTAGATTCGTAGGTGCGTTATACGAGTGACAGTCAAATTCAACTATTCGGCCAGGTAGGTGTAGCCAAGTTGTGGTTGACGGTGGGTACTACTGACTACCTTATTTCCTTCTAGTCGGTTCAAAATTAGAGACAGCTCCCCCTTGCGTAGTTTTATGCAAATATCCGAAGAAAATAAACTGTGTTATGAGTGACTTTCAATTTAAAAGTTAAAATAAACATTCCAAGAACTTCGCAGAAATTCCCCAAAACTATTTCCACGGCAACGTGGCGACAAGAACTTCGCACAAATTTCCTCAAAAACTACTTCCACGGCAACGTGGCGACAAGAACTTCGCACAAATTCCCCCCAAAACTATTTCCACAGCAACGTGAGTTTTAAATGTGTGTCATAATTAAGAGATGGCAAAATTACTGATTTTTCCTTGAAGTAACATTTATTTCTTCTTGATTTCTTTCTTCAGTCTAACAAATTTTCGTGACAAATCAATGCTTGTTTGTTTTGAATTTCGCGCAAAGCTACACGAGGGCTATCTGCGTTAGCCGTCCCTAATTTAGCAGTGT